AGCTCTTAATGGACCAGGGATCTAAAGCTTAAAAACGAATATGTTCAAACACAAGAAGCAAGTGATTTCCTCTATGACTTGGGGATAGTAAAAGATTCTCTAGTCATGAAACAAGAACAAAGGCAAAAAAAAAAAAAAAAAAGGGAAGAAGTTGATGTATTTGACACGAGAAAATAAAAGTAAAACATTTGCACGGTAGAAGATTGTATATAAGCCATATCGGAAGATGACTAATAGAGGAAAACATTTGCAATAGATAGCACAGATAATTCCCCAAACATATAAGAACTCCGTCAATGGGCAGAGACGTGCAGAAGTGAGACATGCGCGCGCGCACACGCGTGCAAGCGTAGGGCAGGGGCATCTGGCCATGCCTCTCCCAGTCGCAGAAGCACGCGCTCTCTGGCAGCATCCTGCGTGTAACACTCCGCTCTGTAGATGTGGCTCCAGCCGTGGTCAGGGGTGCGGACAGGGTAGCGACGAACCCGTCCTGGGCGCTGCACCCACACAGCAGCGGTCAGGAGTGGGGAGAGCCTGGGAAGGTGCCGGGTGTGCCAGCCCACATGGAGGAGGCCGGGGAGGGAGGGAGCGAGAGAAAGGGGAGACAGAGAGAACATCGGTGGATGAACATTCTGGTGGCAGCTTTCTCTGATGGAGATGGAGACGGAGAAAGCAGGCTTGTGTCTACCGTGTGCAGAAGGAGTGACGAAGAACGCACCAGAGAAGCTTGCTCTTGCGAGATGGAGGGCAGACCCGCTGGACAGGACGTGCGGTGGGAGGGAGGGAGAATGGCCCCCGAAGGCTCATACATCTGAACACTTGCTCTCCAGTTTGGGAAGGGTGAGCAGCGGGTGTGGCAGACCAGCCTTCGAGCTGGCACTTCCTTCCCTCAGCCAGCCTGGCCGCCGCAGCCTCCAAGGCTCTGAGTGGCTTTGGTCTAGGCGTGTTATCGCAGAATAAAAATAGCTAAGGCAAGAGCAACTCTGACAAGCAACTTTAAAAATGTAAAAGGAACAAAGACGGCAGTTAAACCTGATCAGGCAGGCGGCCGGCCACACTGGAGGAGGATAAAAGGACAAGTGGAGGGACTCCTAGACACACTGTTTGCTGCATACTGCGGGCTGCAGAGGAACAGAACTCCCTCTCATGTGCTTGTCCCTGCAGGATAGGCAGCCATCTGTGATCTTTCTCTGTGCCCCACATTGCACCAGTAGTAAGATTTTTTAATTTTGTTTGTTTTGTTTTTTTAAGAGAGCCTTAAAGAGTAAATGCCCATTTTATATATTAAGAAAAAAAAAGATTTGTACTTCATTGGATGTAGGTTATATCTCAATACAAAGTACAAACGGAAACAAAAGAATATACTTATGACTCAATTATTTTTCCTCGATAAGTACTCCCTAGGATTCCGTTCTAGAACATAGAACATAGTTAGGGAATCAGAAGATGTAAAAACAAATGGCAACAGGAAAGCTCCGCCCATGGGTGTGAGGGAGCGGAGCGCCGGCCACTGTCGGTGTCCCTGGACCCTTGCACACTGTGACAGCACGAAGACCTTAGGTCAGGCAGCTCTTGGCCGTCCTTACAGTTAGTTATTTACCTGTTTATCTGTTGAGAAAGGATTTCACTGTGTGTGTGTGTGTTTGTTTATTCATTTATCTATTTTTTGGTTGAGGCAGGGTTTCTCTGTGTAGCCCTGGCTGTCCTGGAACTGGCTCTGTAGAGCAGGCTGGTCTTGAACTTAGAAATCCCCCTGCCTCTGCCTCCCAAGTGCTAGGATTAAATGTGTGGGTCACCATGCCTGGCTCATCTTTACTTCCAAAGTAGACCTTTTCATCTTAATTCTAAGAAATAGTTTTTAGCCAGGCACAGTGCCACACACCTGTAATCCCAGTACTCTTAAGAGGCAGAGGCAGGGGGATCACTGTGAGTTTGAGGGCAGCCTGGGCTACAGTGTGAGTCCAGGACAGCCAAGGCTACACAGAGAAACCCTATTTCAAAAAACTGAAAAACAAAAAAAAGAAATGGTTTTGAAAAAAAAATAGTTTTGAATTAACTGAAAATAATTGACTTAATGTAAAAATAGCACGTTTTCCACAAAAACGTTTGTTTTTCATTTAAATCATTTTGTAGTTAAAAGCTGACTAATATGTCAAGGGAAAGCTTTTAAAAGAATTGACGAAAGCCATCCTACTGTGCTCATTAACTGTGCTCCCTTTTCCTTTGAGTCTTCCATAGGTTGGGTAAATGTGTGTGCCACCTTTCAGTCCTGTTGTTCAAAGTGGCTTTGGAGGCCGGCGTGTTCTGTGTGTCCTTGCTGTCATTTTAATGACTACCAATTGTTCTTTTGGCTTCTAATACTGTGACTTGTAACTGTTAGGTCTTTTCCGAATTGTGGCCTCTCTAACTGCAAGTGTGCGTGCTCCAGAGCTCCGCAGGGACGGGTTGGGATCTCAGTTTAAATTCTTGCTCACTGACTTTTTTTCACTGGTTCCCCCGGCCCGTCTTCTGGATTTGTCTGATTGTCAAAACTTTAGCTGCTGCCCTCGGGGAAGTCTGGGCCTCTCTCAGAGCGCTGTGTGATGTGACCGGGCTCTCAGTGTGGGGTTAGATCATCTGGATTGCACAGTGATCCTCACGGGGCTCCAGAAGCTTCGGCTCGGCACTAACAGGGCTTTCGTCAGTATCCCTGTGGTACAACAGTGTGCACACAGCGCAAGGCTCTCGTTCCATATCGTCGCCAGCCAGTAGGTGAAGATTAGGCAACCCCCACGCCACACACGCACGCGCACACACACACACGCTTTTCTTTCTTCCGGAACATCGAGGGAGGATGGCATGGGTCCATGGTGGCTTTCTTTCCTTAAAGCAGACTGCAGCAGCTTCATTTCCAGCAGCACTGACCAAGTTCATAAATGCTTCTTTGTCAACCGGGAGCCGTGCGGCCTGGCCCCAAAGTTATCTCAGATGGCACAAATAAATCTGGCGGCCTCCAGTTGTCTCAAACAGGCATTAGCTCCTTCCTCCGTTGCCTCCGTTGCTGAATTTCCTCTTGGCCTCGGCAGCACAGACTCACCCTGCTCATTCATGCAGCCTGCGGCCTGCTGCCAAACCTCTAGCAGTTTAGTACGTATGTTCCCTTAATCACTTCTCTTTGTTCTGGAAGTCTGGGTTGGTTTCTGAACCACTCATTCCTGCAGCCCCGCCCTCGCCCCTTCCCAACGCTGGCGGTGCGCAGCATTTGAACGCCTACTGTCCACATGTTAAAGAGTGTTCTGGATCGCCCGCCATCCAGGGAGCGTCTGCTGTCTGCTCACAGAGCACGAAGTCACAGCCTCCTCTTTGCCCCTCACTCACCCCAGTTGCTGGGACTGCTAGGAATCAGAAATCCCTAAAAGACAATGTTAACTGTGCCAAGGGACAAAGAATCCTTCTTAGGATTGTTTGCTGGGTGCTCAGGGGTGGGTAGGCATACTCTATCTCAGTGGGTTGTTCATAGTGTCCAAGAGAAATGCTGTGAGAAGGTGTTTCACGTGCATTGGCACCGCTTGGTTCCCCCTGCGCCTGTCCTGCCCCAGCAGCTATGAGGCAGACCCGCTGCTGCACAGCCACACCTGCGCGACACAGCCCAGCAGCCCTTACAGAGAAGCCGAGGGCTGCCTCTCCTAAGCAGGGCTGCACACCGAGCCTGCGGGGGAGAGGGTGGAGAGCTGCTTGGGGCAGGCTTGCTTTAAGAGCTTCTGTCTTCTTGCAAGAATGTTGAGGAACACTTCACACTGACCTATACTTTCTTATTAGTACAGAATACCAGTTTGCCCTCTGCCCTGCTCAACCCCTTCTCTCCCACAGATGATAGATAGATAGATAGATGGATAGATAGATAGATAGATAGATAGATAGATAGATAGATAGATTCATACATATACATATATATAGATACATATTCATAGATACATACATACATAAGTACACACATAGATGCATAAATAGATGGTAGATAATAGGTAGGTAGATAATGATAGATAATGATTGGTGGATGGCTAGATATTGATAGATGGATGGGTGGATGGATAGATAGATGGATAGACAGATAGACAGACAGACAGACAGATCGATCAAATTGAAAGACCCTGCCCCACTGCACTGACAGAGGAGAAGGCTTGGCTTTGGCCGTTAACACTTCCTCGCCTGAATTCCATCTGCTTGGAGCCAGACCAGCAATCGTGGGAAGGTAGAGGAAAATGTCAGGTAGAAGAGAACGTCTTACTCTGGGAATGAAGGCGGAGAACACAGCCTGTAGGAGAGACTGGAGTGAGGGGCTTTGTTCTATGTGCGTACTTTCTCCTCTTCTTCTCTTTCTTGACCCTAATATCAGCTAGCCAGAGGTACACAGAAGTATGCTTTGCTACTTAACTCCCCAGGATAAGTTTGTATTCTTTCTCAATGAAACTATTTTAAAAGTAGAACTGAAATGCAAACAGATCCAGGGTTCTCGGGAATTCTCAAAAGGTGTTGATTTATTTACTGCAGTTAAAGCATAATTAGTTCTCAGGGGATGGGGAATCTCTTAAATGCTTTACTGCCAGTATATTGGTTTTCTGAGTAATCAGAAACGTGTGCATGTTTGAACAGAAACTCAGTGTAAGTAGAAACAAATGTCAGAAATTGTGTCTGTCCCTTGAAGGTAGACGCAGTGTAGGGAAAGAAACAACCCGGTAAAGTCACTGGAAGAACTGTGTCCTGGCTCAGCCGCCCTGAGCACCGGCTGCAGCCACTCTCCCCACTCCTGCCCTTCACCCTCCGCTGGGAAGGGAAGCAGCGGCCCCTCCTTCTTTACAGCCCTGCACATCAGTGGCCCTTCCTGGCCACCGTGTGTGTGTGTGTGTGTGTGTGTGTGTGTGTGTGTGTGTGTGTGTGTACACTCGTCCCTCTCCCACCCAAGCTGTTAGCCCCTCTCTACGTGTCCGTTCTAACTGACCAGTTTTTCCCACCATTTGCAGGTTGATGTTTGAGATGCCGCAGGAAATGGGTTTAATCGCCATTGCAGTCCGGCAGACCCAGGGCAAAGGTCAGTCATCTTCTGTTATCATTGCCATTAGTTTTCTTTCCCAAAATCCCTCAGTCTCCTGGCGGAGAGCTCAGGATGTGCTGCGCCCTGAGATGACTCAAGTTAGTGTGTGTGTGTGTGAAATGAGGTAGGGAAAGGAGAAGGCCGGGCTGATTTGGCAGAGCACAAGCCTTCTCCCAGTCCGTAGTTTGTTAATTACACAGTGTTTGCATTTGATGGCTGTCACACCTGGCAGCGTACCTCCCTACACATCCTGTGGGTTGTGATGGAAACAAAGTTCTGAGACATTTGTGCTCCTGGAAGTCCTCAGTGAGGGTCTGCTGGAGGCTGTGCTAAGCATCACGTTCAGAGGCCTCCCACCCACCGGCCCCCACGAAGCCCTGGCAGCGCCTGCTCAGTTGTGAAGGGCAGGTCTGGGTTTTCACTGATGGTAGACGGAGAGCCGGCACCCTCCCAGAGCCGTGGTGGAACCTGCAGGAGGCACGGAGGAGGCATTACAGGAATGTGGGCCGTGGGCCTGCCAGGCAGTGCCAGGTCACCTCCCAACCCCCGCCCCAGGCAGAGAGATAGGAGCCTGCTGCTTGCCACTTCTTTGAGCATAAGACACAGAAGAAAAATACACTGCATAAAAGCTAGGGATGTCCTATGTTAAATACACACACACACACACACACACACACACACACACACGCAGATTCGAACTCAGGTTTTCGGGTTTGTTTTGTAAGCACGTTAACATACTGAGCCATCCTTGCAGCCCGCAGGGATTGCGCCAACGTAAGCATTCAGCCTGTAGCTCAGGCCTGGTGTTGCTGAACATGCACAAAGCGCAATCCCACACTGAGGAGCGTGAGGTCTGTACACGGCTGCTCCGGAAGGACAGCTCTGGGCCTCGGGGGCCTCAGCTGCACAGCCAGCACTGCAGGAAGGACCTCCTTTCAAAGCAGCTTCCAGGATCCGTGTGCTTTGTCCAGTCCTGTGCTGTTTTCACCCACGTGACCATATGCCGGGACAGCGCCCGGACACTGTAAGACGTTAGTTGTGCAAGCACAGAAGAGAGGCTCGCTGTTTCAGCAGCAGCTTCATGGCGGCGGGGTGCACAAGAGCGTGCAGGCATTTGCACAGGCGTAGTGTGAGTGTGTACCTGTGGGAACCAGAGAACCTTAAGGGCTGTTCCTTGGGAGCTGCCCATCTTAGTCTTTTTGAGACAGTGTCTCTCTATTTGGGACTTGGAGCTTGCAGATTCAGGAGGCTGCTCCAGGCAGAGAACCCCAGGAACCTGCTTTCCTCCACCTCCGCAGCACTAGGGTTATAAACACACACCCACACACCCTCTACCCCTGTTTCTACCTGAGCTCTGGAGGCCGAGCTCAGATCCTCACACTAACGTGACAAGCACTTTACCAACAGCCCCAAAGCACCTTTCTTTTGTTGAGTTAATCCCTGAGTATCAAACAGACTCAAGTGGGACATCTGTCAGGGGTGTGGCTCTGAGACCCTGCTGTCTGGGAGTGTCCACATTGGAAGCTGTGTTCTCTCACTGGTTCTGCCTTCCAGGAAGGGGCCCCAATGCCTGGCTGAGCCCTGTGGGATGTGCCCTTTCCACTCTACTGGTCTGTGTCCCCGTGAAGTCAGAACTGGGTCAGAGGATTCCATTTGTCCAGCACTTGATGTCCCTGGCCGTCGTGGAAGCCGTACGGTCCATCCCAGGGTACGAGGTACGTGTGGCCTCATCGCCTGCCCCTTCCCGTGGAGCCTCCAGCTCAGCCTCTCCACTTGCAGCGTGTGTTTGCATAATCGGCAGTGCCCTTCCCAAAGCTGTCACCAAAGTGCAAGTGCGGTACCACTTAGAGTGGGTAGTTGTGGCCAGGGCCAAAGCTCAGAGGTAGAGTGCTTGCCTGACACACGGTTCTGGTGGGGGTGGCTCCTTCCACAGCGCATTTCTCAGAATCCGTTCCCGGGCTGTTTGCCAGCTTCTTAGCATCCTAGTAAGAACAAGCTTTTCTTCTCTCTTAATGAAAGCACTGTATTACGCTGTTGGGCTGGATGGAAGCTCTCTTCGTTTTCAGTTTGAAATGAGGCTGTTTTATGGACCTATGTAACTTCTTTCCACCTCCCCTTTTTTAGTATTTAAGCAGCCTGCTTCTGGGTTGCCTAGCAACCTATGATGTCATCATGTGTCGCCCACCAGGTAGCCAGACCTGGTGGGCATGGTTAAGTTTCTCCTTAAAAGGATCAACGCGCCACTTTGTCTCTCTCAGCTCTTGCCCTTTTACCCTCTTGCCCTCTCCTCTTTCTCTGTCGGCGCGCCGCGCCCTTCCCCCTGTCATGTCTTCCCCTATCGTGTCTTGCTCTTTCCTTCTCTCTCTTTCTCTCCATCCAATAAACCTCTCTCACATAAAATCTGCTATGTGCATCATCATTTCATTGCTCTCATCTCCACTTACCAGAGCTGTTCTTTGTCTGTGGTTGATGGAGTTCATGGCACTCTTTCCCCTCTTCAAGGACGGGTGTTCTTGGCATCCTTATCCCTGCCTGACTTACCCCACTCCTGGTACCAACCTCTTTCCTGGTTACGTTTCTGCTTCGGAGATAAAACACTTGACCACAGCAACCTTTAGAAGAAAGAGTTTATTCTGGCTCACTGTTTGAGGGGGAGGAGAGTCCATCACGGGTGGGAGGAGGGTGAGCACAAGAGCACAGCTGGGAGGAGGGAGGACCCAAGAAGACCGAGAACAAGCACTGGGAGAAGGGCAGAGAGCAGCAGTCCATCTTGCGGGTTTGGGAGACTAGCCTTGGCCATGGTGACATCTTGGTATTGCAGTGGCCTGAGCATGAGAACATAGAGAGCAGCGCCCCCACCTCACCCTCCAAATGCCACCTGGTTGCGGTACTCAACCTTGAGGATCCCAGCTCTAGTCACAAAAGTGTGAAGTGTCCTTGTGAGCGCTGGGGTCCCAGCAGCACCTGGGCCCTCTCTGCTGCTCCAGGCTGAGCCCCACGCTGTGCTGGAACTTCTGAAGAGCAGTGAGGACCCTGAGGGAGAGGAGGTCTTTGGTGGCGATAGTAGGCCACATAGCATCAGGCACCCAGGCTAGCGGCTGAAAAGCCATGGGCCTGAGTCGCCGTGCTGCCAGTGCCAAGAGGTGTCGGCTCTGAGCCGGGAAATGTAAATAGGAGAGGCGCGCCCAGCTCAGGGAGAGGCTGTGCCAGGAGGGCTCAGCGTGGGAAATGAGTCCCGCCCTGGACCAGCAGCTACTTTGCTCCTTCCAGCCTCGGCCACCAGGAGGGTGTCCTCTGTCCACGGGCCACCTGGCTGCCAGGCAAGTCCCGTCTGTTTCCAGGGCTGAGGAGGAGGTCTGGTGGCCTCAGGCCACCCTTGTCTAGCCACTGAGGCCAGCGCACTGGAAGGTCCTGGCAGGCTGTAGACCCTTTGTGATGGAGCATCCCTGGCCACAGGCAAATCCACTATCCTCCCTGCTGGGCCTCCCTGCTGCTCCCCAGTGTTCTCTCTGTGTTACACCTGCCTCTGGGGCTCTGGCCAGTTCAGGGCCACTTAGTCTGTCATGCAGTGGCTTCTAAAGGGAAAAGAGCCCTGAGGTACTGTTCTCTGCTGCCCCAACTCTCTCCTGATGCAGCCTTGTGATACTGAGATGCTAATGAACTCGATTTACAAGACCTCGGCAGACATCCCTCTTTTGTTCTTTTTGTTGTTTTGTTTGGGGCATTTGTTGGTTGGTTGATGGTACAGGAGACTGAGCCTCCATCCTCACCAGGCAAGTGCCCTACCTCTGAGCTAATGTCACCAGCCCACTTTTTCAGCCTTTATTTTGAGAGTCTCTCAAACTTGCCCAGGCTGGCCTTGAACTCATTTTGTCACCCAGGCAGGCCTCATATCTGTAATCCTGCTCCTCGAGCCACACGGATATTTGTGCAAAAGGTGTTTTAAAAATGAGAGACGGTGGAGGAAGGGATGTGCTGAGGTGTGCCGGGATGTCCTGTCGGAGGCTGCAGCAGGTGCTGATGCTGTGTTGCCTGCGGTCCTACCCGAATGAAGAGCAATGGCTGCTCTTCGAGGGGACTCGGATTTGATTTGCAGAGTATACATGGCTATATATTCGTAATGTATTCACAACTCGGCCTAACCCCAGACCCAGAGCGTCTGACACCCTCTTCTGGCCTTTAGGGCACCAGGCCTGCACATAGCACACAGACACACGTGCAGGCCAAACACCCACACACATAGAATAAAGTTTAAAGGATGCTGTATTACACCCTACAGAAGGATGGAAATCTAACGCTGGAGAGGACCAAATCCCATTAGTTCATCTTCGTGTCTCATCTTTCAACGCCCTGTGGCCAGTTGCTCAGTTAACATGCAGAGTTTCTTCTAGGATATCAACTTGCGAGTGAAGTGGCCCAACGACATTTATTACAGCGACCTCATGAAGATTGGTGGGGTGCTGGTTAATTCAACACTTATGGGGGACACGTTTTATATCCTTATCGGTAAGTTTCCACACCCTTCCTCCGGCCTTTCTAATAGTAGTAAAGCGACAAAATTTTGAATGTCTTATGTATGCAAATATCTGGAAGGTGTGGTTATGAGAGGGACGGCTTTAGTCTTAGAGTGTGACATGGACGCAGCGAGGACCAGATGAGAGGCGGACACTTCAAAGCTCAACAGTTCCCGTTGGGGCTGTGGAAACTGACAGATTGGTGTGACAACTGACAGATGTCTTTCATGGTTGTGCCGCTCATGGAACTTGAAACGGTGGAAGCAAATATTTTACCATTTTATAATAAGCAGTAAGTTAATGTCTGAGCTTAACTCCTCGACACAATGTAGAATCACCTAGAAAGAGAGTGGACTGTCCGGGCAATGTTGGTGAGCCTCTTTGTGGGACTTGTGTGATTGTGTTAATTGACGTGGGAAAACCCATCCTGGTTGCAAGGCGCTAGGCTCTGCTCTCTTGTTGGGGTGTTCATTGCGTCACAGACTTGTCTAAGATCGGCTGCTGCTGGCCTTGCACTCCCAGCCCTGAGAAAGTGTTAACCCTTTCAGCCTTCAAAAAACCAGAAACATGGAGTAGAGTCGCTGCTCCCCCAGCATGTCCAGGGAGAAGGGGGCGCCACGGCTGTTTCAGAAATTCCTAGGACCCTGGCATCTCCCCAATCTCCCCTAATTCCCAGTCGAGCTCCCGTGTCACTCAGACGTCAGCCACAGACAGGGGCACGCGACTGTAGGGCTACAGTGCTGGCCAAAGAACAGCTCTGCTGCCAACGGGCAGGGCTCCTCTTGGCAAGCCGCCCACACCCTGGACGTAAGCGAGCGAGTGTGCTCGACGCGCAGGGTGAGCAGTGTCCGCTGGAGCTGAGGCCAGGGGTGGCCTCAGGAAGCTGACAATGTGCGGGATGGGGCCGAGGCAGAATGTGTGCCGGAGCCACCTCCTCAGAGCTTTTGGCAGCTGCCAAGACCTGACAGACAGGTTTCAGGGTTAGCAGCAGAGCGTTTTAGCTCCTAGAGAGACATCCTGCAGGGTGGTGGTGATGGTGTCCTTATTCTCCTTCCCACCTCCTGTGGGTGCCAGGAAAATCTGCACTGTTAGCTGGAGCAGTTCTCAACCTGTGGGGCCTGAGCCCTTGGGGTCGCATGTCCGATATCTCACCCATCAGCTATTTACCCTATGATTCAGAACAGTGACAAAGCTATAGTTGTGAAGTAGCAACAGTAATAATCTTTGGTGGGGTCAGCACAGCCTGAGGGCCCACAGTGAAGGTCGAGAACCGCTGATAATGTCAGGCTGGTTTTTAACTGTTTGTTTGGCTTTGTGCAGGCTGTGGATTTAACGTGGCCAACAGTAACCCTACCGTATGCATCAACGACCTCATCGCAGAATACAACAGGCAGCACGGAGTAGGCCTCAGGCCCTTACGGGTGGACTGTCTCATAGCCAGGGCCGCAACCGTGCTGGAGAGCCTGATCGACCGGTTTCAGGCCCACGGGCCTGACGGCATTCTTCCGCTCTACTATAAGTACTGGGTGCACAGGTCAGTGGCCACAGCTGCCTTTGCCATAGAGTTCCTGCCTTAGCCCCAGCACAGGTCGGAGTCACGTTTTAACTCTGTGACAGAAAAGCCCAGCGAGTGCAGGCTTGAACAAGTCGGCCCCGAGGGAGCAGAAGGGAAGAACAGACTGAGGTCATCTGAGGTCAGCTTAGTGTGAACCCTGAAGAGCAGTCAGGCCTCCAGGCAGAGCCCTCGAGATCTCACAGTGGGGGCCTCGTGCAGCAGGGGCGGCCCGGCCCGTAAATCTGCATTCTGGGGCCCAGGCCAGCCCTCAAGCTCTCCAGAGCCCCGGCCTCCTCCTGCATCAAGCTTGTGAGACAAGCCTCGACCCTTCCAAAGCACCAGTGTCTTTGAACTTAAGGTGGGAGGGCTTGGTGGAGCCAGGGCTCCCCTCCATTTTCACAGGGTCTCCAGGGGTGACCCCGCGTCACCAGGCTTCCCTGGCCCTCGTTCTCCTTTCTTTATTTCAGCTAGTATAGGTCGATTTAAAAAGTGGCGACTTTTGCTGTGCCATTTCACCCGCGTTGGCCCCGCTGCCCCTCCTCCCCTCCTCCCCCCTTTGTTTCCCGATAGCCCCTCCCGCTCTCCCGCCCCTTTGCACACCCCAGGGGAGGGGCTCAGCCACCAGCAGTGGGGTCCACACGGGTGTGATTTGGTACACAGGCGTTCCCGTCCACCTCTGCTTGGGTATTAAGACATTTCACAGCGACAGAGAGGATCAGAGGTCAGCCTGTCCCCAGGACCCTAGTCCGTGTAATGAATAGTCCCCGCCTTCTCTCCCTCCCATGACCCCGAGCTCCTGTGCTTTGTTTTCAGTGGCCAGCAAGTCCGCCTGGGCGGCGAGGAGGGACCGAGGGTGTCCATCGTGGGGCTGGATGACTCCGGGTTCCTGCAGGTGCTGCAGGAGGACGGTGGGGTTGTGACGGCGCATCCGGACGGCAACTCCTTCGACATGCTGAGAAACCTCCTCCTGCCCAAGCGGCAGTAGCCAGCAGCGTGTCCCCAGACAGCCGGAGCTGCAGCTGCAGCTGCAGGAGGGAAGCTGCTCCTGGGGACCCAGGCTTGCACGGCTGCCGCCTCTCCTGCCCAGGGCCCGGGAAGTGCCATTTGTTATCCTATCAGGGTGTCAGTCCCCGCCCCCGTCTCCAGGTTTGGGTTTTGTTGTTTTGTTTTCATACCTGTGGTTTTGTGGAGTTTGGATTTATTTTCACTGGGGAAAACAAGGGTTTTCAGAGGGTTGCATTTAACCATGAGATGTGGTTTCCCAAGTAGTGAAGGCCTCGGCCCTACACTGTGCAGACACCCAGTGCCCCGGATGAGGCATGCAAACCGGCAAGCGCTGAGTTAGAGGTCCGCCTGTCCGTCTCCGGAGCTGTTCTCCCGGAACGCACAGTGGCGTCTGGACTCTGGTTTCGGTTTTGTTTCTGGGGTTGTTTTCCTTAGTCAAGCGGGCTTCTGGCAGTTTCTCCGCTGTGGTGTTGGGTGTCACCACACTGGAGGCCGGGGAGACCTGCTCGCTGTGGCCTCACAGACGAAGGCGGCTTCTTCCCGGCCGGGGCAGCGAGCACTTCTTCCCCGGCACACGATTCAGGCGGTAGACTCTCAGGCCGTGACGGCACCCTCCTCTGAGGCAGATGTTGCCCAGGCGCAGAGACAGCTCGCTCTCGTGCCCACACGAAGGGGATTCTCGGAGCCAAAGAAGTGAGAAGTGGAGCATTCCCGAGAGACTGGAGCAGGGCCCCGGGTGTAGCTCTGCACTGCAGGTCACGATTCTCTGCCCCGATTTCCTCATGTTGTCGTGAGAGAAAGAGGTACTGACACTAAATGCCATCAATTTGGAGACGTGTGCATGTCTGATTGCGTGTGTGTGTGTGTGTGTGTGTGTGTGTGTGTGTGTGTGTGTGTGTG